GCTTGTAACACTCCAAAGAGAAAGGAAAACTTGAAATTGCATCATATGACCCCTTTAAAGACTGGCTAATGACAGAGCTGGACAACGAGGACCGCTATTTCATCTCTCTTAACTGAACAGAACACCACCGCACACCACTTTCTTTTCTATACCCACTGTATATCAGTGGTGTGCATTATATACACCGATCAGGCATTACATTATGACCAGCTTCCTAATATTGTGTTGGTCCTCCTTTTGCTGCCAAAACAGCCCTGACCCATGGAGGCATGGACTCCACTAGACCCCTGAAGGTGTGCTGTGGTATCTGCCACCAAGATCTTAGCAACAGATCCTTTAAGTCCTGTAAGTTGCGAGGTGGGGACTCCATGGATCGGACTTGTTTGTTCAGCACATCCCACAGATGCTCGATTGGATTGAGATCTGGGGAATCTGGAGGCCAAGTCAACACCTCAAACTCGTTGTTGCACTCCTCAATCCATTCCTGAACCATTTTTGCCTTGTGGCAGGACACATTATCCTGGTGAAAGAGGCCACAGCCACCAGGGAATACCGTTTCCATGAAAGGATGCACATGGTCTGCAACAACGCTTAGGTAGGTGGTACGTGTCAAAGTAACATCCGCATGGATGGCAGGACCCAAGGTTTCACAGCAGAACATTGCCCAAAGCATCACACTGCCTCCGCCGGCTTGCCTTCTTCCCATAGTGCATCCTGGTGCCATGTGTTCCCCAGCTAAGCATCGCACACGCACCCGGCCATCCACGTGATGTAAAAGAAAATGTGATTCATCAGACGAAGCCATCTTCTTCCATTGCTCCGTGGTCCAGTTCACCCTGTCACCGGTTCACCACTGTTCCTTCCTTGGACCACTTTTGAAAGATACTGACCACTGCAGACCGGGAACACAGAGTGAAAAATTTAAGGGGGTCTGAATACTTTCCGTACCCACTGTATATAATACATTTAATTAATAGCCTTGGTTTAATAAATCAATCAATTTATATTTATTTATTAAGCCAAGCAAACTTACACCAAAATACACCATATTTACCCAGCCATAAACATCATGAAAAATCATAATTTGGTTGTATGTCAATGGTCTCAGTTAGAGGTCCAAGTTGGTGCGTCTCGGTTATAATAAAGGCTAATTCACATTGTGTCCCCAACAAACACCAACTTTTAATGGTGGTTGGAAATTGTTGGGACAGTGTGAACTAAGATGCAAACTGATTCAGATTGTATGCTGTTACTCAAAAGTCTGGCTACCTCCAAATTTGTTGATCTGACCACTGAAGAGCTTCACATTGCATAACAGTGAGTTAAACTCTCAAGTCCATGTCATCAGCAGCAGCCTGAGATGATGATTGCGGCTCTTCAGGATGGTTCTCCAGACCTGCATGAATACAAGCTCTCTAATACATCAAAGCAGCTGAGATCAGTATTTCCCCTCCTCTTTTCTCCTCTCAGTCATCAGTGGCGAGTTTAACTTCCTCCCATAATTAATTGGAGCAAGTCAAGGATGCTCATTATCACAATCGTTTTCCTCTTGTCTCAGAGGACGGGTGGCATGCACAATTTATCAAAACGATAGCATCTCAGGAGGGGAACGAAACGCCCATCTTTGTGCTAACGGTGGTCTGCGATTTTAAACCCGTTTGGCCCCTTTTCCATCACATTTACCTTGATTGTACCACTTCAACACTTAGCATAATCTGATTAGTTTTCGTTATGGGATTCCTATGAAGCAAGATGGAAATAAATTATTTGTTTGACTGAAAATAGGATTGTAACTGAGTAATGAAACTAAAAATGCGCTTGTGCTCAGCTGAATTATCGCAGCATGATAAGACAGTGCTCAGTTTGATCATGAGAGGTCATCTGATAGACCCTGCTGCTAATTGAATATAGAGTACAGTTGGTGGCTTAGTGGTGGGGGGCATTTTTACAACCATATTTGTCCAAATAACCATGGGAGAATGTAATCTGTAAAAATCTCATATGCATAACTTAAAGGGATAGTTCATCCAAAAATGAGGATTTGAAGGATATTGATGTCTAAATAGTTGCTGGTATTTCAGCCCCCCCGTACTATGGAAATCAATGGAGACCAGCAACTGTTTAGTTACTAACATGCATCAAAATATCTTCTTTTGTGTTCAACAGAAGAAAAAAAACTCATACAGGTTTGGAACAACATGAGTGTGAGTGAACGATGACAGAATTGTCATTTTCAGGCAGACAATCCCTTTAAGAATCATTTGTTTCAAGCTACACTGGTTGGACTGAATGCTTGTGATTCACTAAAAAGAAGTGAATCAAAAGAGTCAATTTTGTGAATCAGACAACACAGTTGTGTTTCAGTACTTGTGTATAGAGTGTTTTAAGCACATCTGTACTGCATATGTACTGAATCACAACCAACTTCCCAGCGTGCAACTTCCAATCCTTTGGATGAGTTGATCGATTTTCCCTCGTCTGGGCTTTGGAAACGTGAGACTCTGATTGCACTAGAATAGCTGGAATAGAAACACAAAGCTGACACGAAAGTCTGTACACAAAATTTAATTTTACAGTACAGTGCATCTTCCATCTGAGAGGCCATCGCCATAAAACATCATACAGTTTCAGGAGACTTCTTGAATTGGTTTTGTTTTATGGCTTAATCTGAAGTTCGAGCATCAACAAATACCACCATATCATAGTCTAACGAATCAGCCTTAAAGTCATCTTTCATGTTAAAGTTAGTTCAGCAGTCTTCCATAAAAAAAAAATCAGCCAAGAGGTTTATATCATTAGTGGCTAGGTTTAGGAGAATCTCTAGATAAATTAGTCTGAAATCTTATAGTGGATATGATTTTCCTCATATGCTAAAGCGCAATGCATACAGATCTAAAGTGCAAAACAGCGCAAGAGCCATATTAGTCCTCATTAGTAGTCTTTCCAATAAAGCTCACTCACATAAATATTTCAGGAAAACAACAAATAATAATAATTTACCGATACTGTAAACCACCTCATACAGAAGGTTCGAGAGTAAGGAGGGACTCTCCTCTATCAAACACACCAGTAAAAACAGTCAAAACATGTTTACATCCAGCACTGAGGCATACAAGCCCGAAGCACATAATAACACTGATGACCAATCAGCATAGCGTAACAAACCTGCACTCTCGCTCTGTGAGAATGCACAGACGAACACAAAAATCACCAAACGTCTCCACGCGCTGTTTCACAGTTGCAAAAAAAAAGGCTAAAATTCATTAAATCCTATGTAATGTACAGCATCAGTACAGTATTTGGCAAATAAAAGATTCGAGTGCACACGTGCATGGCATTTGCAAGTATACATTCATTTAGGATACAAGCTAGCGTGATACAAACGTCCAAACGACGATCGCTCTGGGACTTGTTTCTCAGACTCACAGTACTTTTTTTTTTTTTCCCACCGGGGCCGAA